TAAAGTTTTCAAAAACGGATATCACGGTTAGTAGAGGCCGATCTTCGGATCGGGCGAGAGGGGGTGCTCATAGCTGACCTTCCCCAATCGTACCCTAGCTCCCGAGCCGAGGCAACTCTGGTGATGACGGACATGTGGCCTTCGACACCGAGTCAAGGTTTCCTAAATTCCCCCCATAAAAAAAATATTTAGGTGGCGACTCTGTATCTGGCAAAGCAGTCCATGTTTGGCACTTCTTTTCAAAAATTTGTTTCTCAAAATGATTTGCCGGATTTGGACTCTTTGGTTCAGATTAAGAACCGTGACACAAATCGAGTCCGAACTGTAGCGGGACCCCTCGCTGGCACGTGTTACACTAATATTTTCATAATGTCTAAGGTCCTTCAATTTGATCCAGAGGATTTTTTTGGACTTCCCAAAGAAATTCTATCCAGAGAAATTCTGAACCAGAGAAATTCTCTCAAACCCAGAGAAATTCTCTGTTTCTCTCCAAAGAAATTTCGATTTTGTTAAAAAAATCGCTAATGCAAAGAAAATCCAAAGTCAGAACCATAAATGCAATAAGAACAATCAATTTGGAGTTGAAAAGTAAAAATCAAACCCAGAGAAATTCTCTGCTTCTCTCAAGAGAAATTTCGATTTTGTTGAAATGCCTCCAAAAGTATAAAACTAAACATTAAGTTTATGTTTCTATCAAAGAGACATTTCTATTCTACTGAAATTAATCATACTTTTCCCTCCAACAGTACACAAGGAAGAATACCCCATGAAAGTGCCAATACAATGTCTCCAACAACCTACCTCAGTCAATCGTGGCCGAGTATTTCAAGCTTTTTCTCAAAGAAAACTCTTCAGATCGCCATGGCAACATGAAGAAGCACATACACTTTAGCAAAGAAGATCTGAAACTCTCTGTCCTTAACAAATGCCACCATAAACAGAAGCAACCCAATGGCAAACAAAAGCAACCCAGAAAACGACTCCGAAGTACGAATCAAAAGCTCATCATGCATAACATCGTTGCTTCTGCTTCGTGTATTGGAATGAATTTCTCTAGATTGGACCAGAGAAATTCTCTGATTTGAACTGAATTTTCTCTAGGTTGGTCTAGAGAAATTCTTTGGTTTAGACTGAATTTTTTTTGGTTTGAACTGAATTTTCTCTGTGTTAGTCTAGAGAAATTCTTTGGTTTAAACTGAATTTTCTTTGGTTTGAACAAAATTTTCTCTGGGTTAGTTCAGAAAAATTCTCTGATTTGAACTGAATTTTCTCTGGGTTAGTCCAGAGAAGATCTCTGGTTTGGACTGAATTTTCTCTGAGTTGGTCCAGAGAAATTACATGTGTATATATACTTGTATATACATAATTTATACATGTAGCGAGTGTATTCCCCAAAACGTATGATTATATACATGTTCTATTATTGTTATGTAGTTAACCTGCCATTGAACTGGTGGGCTCTTCATTCAATTTCCCAAGCCTTTTACTAATGACTAATTTAATTACTTGCAGAAGTATCAACCTTATGCCTTAGACTCAAATCTTAGCAGTGCCCTAGCTTCAGTTCTTTGGGAACTCAACCTTCTGTCTAAGCATCATCATCTAACTGTTTCAACGCTAGCGTCGACCATTTCAACATTGAGCAGTGCTCAAAACCAGGTTTATCATTCCAACATGTTGGCGATTATCGAAAGAGAAAGTGACGAAGAGGACGTCTTTGGAGTGGCTGACGAAGCGGCGAGCAGTGATGTCAGTAGGGAAGTTTGAGAGGCGGAGCTCGGAGTCCCAACTGTCGGAGAAAGCGAAATGGCCGTCAGAAGAGAGGACGACGTCTTCGACGAAGTGAGAGTGGCCGACGAGTTGGATCGATGAGAAAGAGAGAGAGAGGTGAGGGTTTGAAGGTGTGAGATATATCAAATTTCTTTATAGGGACCTTAAACATCATAAAATAATATTGTGGATCTCTTCCATGACTAAAAATGGGAGAGGGAGCTTAGACTAATTTTTCAAAAAAAAAAAAGATTAAATATTGTGTTATCTTGGTAATCTTTTGTACATTTCTAGTGGTCCCAAACAAGCACACTAACCAAACGAAGATATCGATCGGTTTTTCATTATCGTTTTCAAATTAACATTTCTTGACAACCAAAGCAAATAAAAACAAAGGTATTGATCAGTTTTTCATCATCGTTTTCAAATTAACATTTCTTAACAACCAAAGCGAATAAAAACAAAGGCTCCGTTTGGTGAAACTCTCAAATTATAGTTCCACACTTACCTTTGATTGTGGCGTTTGTTTAACATTTTCAAAAATTAATTTCATACTTACTTTTGAAACCTCATTTCAAAATGAGAAAATTTAGACTAACCGGTTACTAGACATCCCATCGGTTGATCGACCAGTTAACCGGAACAGTGTTCGTTTTTTTTTATATTTTTTTTGCTTCTGTTATTTTTATATTACAAAAAAAATATTTGTAAATTTAAAAAAAAAAATTATGAGCTTTAAATAAAATTTTGGATTGTATCTGTGTGTTTTGTTATGACTTGTAAATTTTTATATCAAATATCATATGTGACATCACTCAGTTCAAACTCAATTTAAAGAGCATACATTTCAAATAGAACGGAATGGAATCGGCATGCATATGCTGCACACGCAAAATATACAACACATCAGACACAAATGAATCAAGATGTCGAAATAAAATTCAGCAATGAGAACCTCTGTTTACGAAGGTGGAACATGGTAAACAGAATGCACTTTTGATTCTAACAAAGACACATATTTGTCAAGCATGGAAATTACAACTTCAAATTCTGTCACTTGCTGCTCTATCGCATCAATTTGCTGAACATTCTCATCAAAGCTTCCACTTTTGGACTTGAGCTGCTCCACAAAGACCCTTAACCCAAAAGCCACATCACCATACCCTTTATACTCTTCTGCCACCCTGAGATTCATATTCTCCAAAAGTTCTAGTACATTGCTTGACCCCTGAAACAAGATAAACAACTTTAAGTGTCAAATCCACAAGTGCGTACAGTCCTACATACACTATGAAGGCAATAAAAAATTGGCATAAAAGTCATAATCATTGCCAGGAAGCAAGCAAATTTGGTGCTACGAATGTGTACAGCTCATGAATAGAAAAAACCATCAGTCAGCATTTGGTGCCACTTATACCTTCATTTTTTTGCACTATTTTTCACAGTAATGAACTTTTACAGTTCATATGCAAAATCCACGAGAATTTTCCACCATTGCTGGTGATATGGAAATTATCAATTTATTTTTATACGGTAAGTCATATTCTTCTAATAACCAAAGTTAAGATGCTAATATCTGACCAAAAATTCATGATGCCAGTACACACATGTATGAGAATATAATTATACAACTAGGGAAGTGAATGAGAGAAGGAAAATGTCTTTAACAAAGTTCAGACTTTTCTTAATAACGGCTGGCCATGGAACTTTTATAATTTGAGACAGGTAGGACCCAATATAAAATAGGGAGTTTCCGTGTAGGTCATTATAGGTCGAAATAGGTAATAGATCTTATCATAATTAAAGGTGTTTTTCATCAAACACTATTAAAAAAACGTAATTGTTAATTTTTAGCGACAATTTAAAAATTGTCACAAAAAATGTCACTAATTATAAATTTTAACAACAGTTCAAGAAAATCATCACAAAAAAAAGCCATTAATTTTCAACTTTCAGCGACAATTTGAAAAATTTATCACAAAAAAAGTCACTAATTGTAAGTTTTAACCACAATTTATAAAATATGTGACTAAAAAAATCACTAATTGTTAATTTTTAGCGACATATGTAAAAAATCGTAACAAAAATTATTTTTAACAACGTTTGTACGATGACTTATTTTTAATAAGACTTAATGAAAATTAAATCAACTATTAAGACCTATCGATAATTTACCCTAAAAAATATGATTGAAAGTTGAAACAACTCATATGAGTAAATGTACATTATATATATTTTTTAATTTGTAAAGCATTAATGCTAATAAGAAAGTGGAGAGTTTTTATAACTGGTGTAAGAAATAACCATTAATTTATCTTTTGACAATATTACCTTGGAGACCTAATGGATACCAAAAAATTCTCCAAATTAATAAATTACAGTTAATACAAACTTTACAGGGTAAAAATAAAAAATAAAAAAAGGAAAAAAAACAAAGATCTTTTCTTTCGTCAAAATCATTATTATTTATTACTCGACTAGTGGGCCAGCTTATGCAGACAATCCAAGAACTATCATTGATCTAAATGTTGAAGAGAGCAACAATTTAAAAGAATTGCTTATGTTTGTGTATATATTTTTGTTTTTAAAATTATGTTTATATCTTCCCAAAAATATAAAGAAAATCAGAATTTTCATAGAACTTAGACTTGTAAGATCTGAAATAAAATCTTCTAACCAGTCATGCATTTCAAGATTTGGACTTAACATCCTCAGGGATACATTTGGATCATGAAATTGTAGAGGGATCTGCGTAGGTGAAATAGGGATATGTACGACCCTTTCAAATTGATGGAAAAAGTCATGGAGTGAATTACACTTGAATCAATTGAAAAATCCCAATGAATCACCAGACTCCAAACAAAATTAAATTGGGTATTCCTGAAAATTCTCTCATATCGGTCAACGAAAGGAACAAAAATGCCTCATACATGTTTCCTTTTCATCAAAATCATAATTATAAAACATAACTCAGAAGAAGAAGAGGGGAAAAAAACACTAACTAGTAGTGAAGATAATCAAATCACATATAATGATCGAAACTATAATTGGCTAAGTGCAGTGATTCAAAATCCGATAGCGAACCCTAGACGACGAGTCGAAAGAAACTAGAGAGAGAAAGTGATGAGAGAGAGAGAGGAGTACCTGAAGCTCGCCTTGGACCATGGTGGAGAGATTGGTGAAGAGATCGTTCAGTGACTCCGCTAATTCGTCGCGCTCTTGTTTCTCATCCTTCCCAGCCATGATGCTAGTTAGGTCGCCAAGTGACCGAGCCACTGGTTTTAGTCAAACTCCACATCATGGTTAATTACATTTTACACTAGTGTGTCTAAAACTTCAACCTAGTTGTTTTTTTACTGAATTAGGGGTGTTCTGCCAACAAGTTAAAAAAAGTTGGTTTTTTTGTTTTTTTTTTTTTTTAACTTTTTTACATAAAATATACCAGCCTATCAACCGTGCATAGATATTTATATTTGTTTTAGATTTTTTTTAATATATAAATTATGTTTTCTAAGATTTTTTTATAAAAATAATTTAATAATCTCATCACTAACCATAATGTATAGGAAAACATATTCCAGTTTCTTCTATAGCATCATCACGCATGCCCCAAGATATACCATCAGCACAAGACGCTTCCCTGTTTTGCTCGTATAAGTGAAGCTTCCATATCTCGCATCTCATCTCGCATCTTTGCATTTCTGATTTTCTTCAAGTCACTTTCCTTCAATACAAGCCACACAATGAGCTGTTACATTGGAAAATATGCACATGCACAAGCACACACAGAAACCCACAAACCCACAAAAATGTATGCACAGTAGTAGCAGCAGCAGCAGCAGCAGTAATAATGTTATAGCCAGAGTTTTACACAAAAGGTCAAACATCCAAAATTTCCTGTTTTTGTTCTCAGCATAAATACAAAATTTGTTGCTGTAATACTTACAATTTACAAATGTAACAAAGGGAAGACAAGAAAGTGAGTTCAGGATTCAGATGAACCTAACGATCTTTGTCATAAATGGTCTATGGAACGGTCACTAAAAGATGGAGTTCAGCATGCTGAATTCTTTTCCAGATTATTATGATGACAGTAGTTTAGAGTTTTCAGATGGCAAGTACCCTTCAAACTAAAAGCACTCTCGTATGCTTCCTGGACTATTATGCCACCCATTTTAACATGCCTCGGTTCTCATGGAGGAGGTGTAGCTTAAGAGAGATTTTAAGTGTAGGAGTTCGAAGAAGTTTAGCTCATCTGGAAAATCATTGAATGAATACATCAAGACAGACTCTGCGTCTTACAGAAAAAGCCTGGATGGTAACATAAAAAAAATTTGGGCCACATTGCCAAACTATCATGTCTCTCATTATAGTACTTATTTTTTGTTATCAACAAAAGTGGAAGCGTATGAGAAATTTATCCATTAGAAATAAAGACAGATCTAAGAAGAAATATATTCATAGTAAGAATGTGAAAACACGAAACAATTCTTCTTCAAAAAAAAAAAGGGAATATGCTTAGTTTAGAGCATAAATCAAGCTCCATGGCACAAAATATATTTGTAACTAGCGAAGTGTGGGGTACAAGAATCAGAAGGTTAGGCTCCTGCCAAACGAATCTCATGACTCATGGTCTAAAATATGATAATGACATAATAACACAGATGATTGATTGTCATCCATTGAACTGATGATTCCTTATAGGATTAGAAGATGAATGGATTTATTTGACAGATATGGGGGAGTACCTTGTTGGTTAATCAAACAAAATTGGAGGGTAAAGAAACTAGTGTGTACGGTGGTGAACATATATGATTATCATATTCAACTACCAAATGTCAATAAAACGCCAATCATATATAGATACCAAAAAGGTCAAACAAAACAAAGCTGAAGAAGAAAAAAAAAGTGGTGATACAAGTCTTACCAGTGGCATCAACTCAGATGGTCCTTGGAATATGTGTAATCGAGACGAGCTGTACAAAAAAACAAACAATGAGCAACAACAGAAAGTATACACATCAAAAGCATACAAATTATGATTGCACAAGAATCTTAAGACCTTAACTAATAACTTTATTTCTTCCCAAATATATATATATATATGGAGAGAGAGAGAGAGAATGAGAGAGAGAGAGAGAGAGAGATAATATTTGAAAGCAACACTCAACAGAGTGACCAAACAAAATTCAAATATGAAGCAATTCTCCAAAGAGGTGGTGCAGAGGAGTAATTGCAGTCAGGTGTTAGTGATGAAGACCTGTGACTAAAAATAAATGGAACCTCAAGACTTGAATGTGAAAAGCTTTATAAAAAAAATAAAAATAAAAACAAAAAATTCAGATCTCTTGATTATCTACATAATCAAAAGGCAACGGCAGTACTTTCACCCCCAACCTATGAAGCACATATACCTCTTTGGAGGTCACATACCGATATCCGACGCATCAGACAAGCTGGAAGAATCAGACATGTGGGGATACGCTGAATAGCATACCCAAGGTTGATAAATTTGATGAGAATAATATTTGGCATAAATAAATATATAATATTAGAAAAATGCCATATTATAAATATATAAAATTATATGTTTTGCACATCGCCCACATGTCACATCCTGCTTTTTTTGAAAACTTACATTGTCACTAAACTCTTTCAAACAGCTATTTTCTATGCCCAGCAAGCAGCAAGTTAATTTTGTGTAAAGAAGATGCTATGGTGAACAGGATGATTAATTTCATATTAAACTTGATGTCATCAGGAAAAAATGTCTAACTTTAAATTTTACATAATAACATACAGTAGACATGCTTCTGGATGTATAGTTCATACAGTCTTTGTTTCAAGTGTTCCTTTATGGCAGTACTCTTTTTAATAATTTTTTGCTATAGTAGATATCGAACATGCTATGACTTCCTGGATTGTCTTCACCTAATCTGTGAGATGGATCACCTAGTACATTAAAAATAAAGATAAGCAGTGGAAAATATGAAAGAACTTTTGTCAAGGAAAATATGATTGGGAAACTAGCATGAAAGAAAATGAGGAAATTGCAACAATTACTTACTGGCCAAATCGAATCACATCACCAACACGCAACTGTACATAAACCTTTTTCTTCACCTAATAAATTGGCATTGTCAATCCATCAGGAAAAATTATGCCTCAAATTCATAATTGTTGGTATATAGTACAACAAATAGATAATAATTTTTACAACATAAACACTAAATGGTGGTACCATTAATAGATAATAATTTTCATTACATAACCATTCTCCGGTTGCAATTATTTGTTCAGTGAAAAGGATAGCAAATATTAAGCTATTCAAAGACATAAGGTTCAATGGTCTCTTTTTTTTTTTTAGGCATCAAATGAATATGTTTTGAATGAAAAATAATGCCATGCATTTGAACATATGCTAACTTGAGTAAACAAATCAAGATACCTGATTCTTGTTTACAAAGGTCCCATGCGTACTACCGAGATCATAAAGATATGCGTCTGCATTTCTCTTGAACTGAAGAACTAGCAAAGAGGGAAACATTTGATCAAATAACAAAATGAAAATCGTTCACATCATTAACTAACTATTGCAAGTTTCCAAAGACTTTATACTTGTTGTGTAACAGAACGAAAATGAAATACCAATAATGTAATCCATAAATCATGTACATAAGTAACCAACCATTTGATCTTCATATTAACAAAAACGATATTTCATACATCAAAAATAGTATATTGCCAAGCACAACCAAGCTATAATAATGGCTCAGGTTGACAATAGAAACTTAAAACTCTCCATCAATAAGAAATTTGTGTGTATTATACATAACTAAGATGGCCAAAGTATCAATCAATTGTACACAAAAAATAAGTTCTTGCTCAAGACACTATGTGTATTGCCATGAGTAATTTTCCTGTAATGGAATGATTTTCAAAAAACATTAATCTCCTCAATTAATAGAAAAGAGACATAATACTACAATATTGTGCAAGCAAGGAAACATTTTGGGTTCTAGCCAAGGTTCTGAAAAGCGGTTGCAGTCGCCGTAACGGTGGCGGTGGCGTGGTTGCGGGGTGTAAAGGCCGCAGCGTAACGGTTGCGGTTACCGGAACTGTGAATTTTTTTATTTTTCGCACAATTTGCAAAAAACTTACCGATACGCATATTTTTTTTTTAGAATCATATTTATTGGGTTTTAAAATAAATTTAGATAATTTTTTCATAATTTTTAAGTATGATCCAATATATTTCATATTTTTAAATCACTATAAAATAATTTTTTTTACATTTTATTTCAATAATTAATGACTTTATATGTCATAAATCCATGTTACACTTGTGGCAAAAATTTCTTTTATTGGACTTAGATGTATAAAATTATTTTTAATTATTATACTTGTGGAAGCATATGCGCATTTTAACTCAAATAGTTTTAAAAAAAGTATACATTCTTAATGGAAGAACTTGACAAAGTACATAACATCATAGCATAAATCACAAATAATAGAGAGTACATTTTACATAATGTTACTACTAAAATTACATAATGTCACCACCAAAATGAGTGACGTGGTGCATATTGGGATTCAGATTGTTGAGCTTGATTGTTGCTGCTACCTTCACCCCACCAAAATGAGTGACGTGGTGCATCTTGAAAATTAGATTGTTGAGCTTGATTACTACTACCTTCACCCCATCCAGTAGGAAATATATAAGTAAATGTGCTCATCATGTCATCCCTTTCTGTTTTGTGCATTGGGAGAGAAAATGGATACCTTGGCTGAAAAGGATCAACATACTCTTGTTGGGCTTGTTGATAATTTGGCAAACCGTATCCTGGAGGACCATGTTGTTGAGGGGGCCAAGGATAATTTTGTTGAGGTGGGTAAGAATAGCTCTGGCTATCACTGTTATAGGATGGGTAAGGATGATATGGATAACTATGACTACTATCAGATGAATCAAGCTGTTGTTCTCTACTTCTTATTCTTCTTTCATCCCTACGTGTATCACTACCACGAAACCTCCTAGGTAGTTGGGGTAAAGGTGCAACAGGTTCTCCAATATCATAATGTTCCCCAACATCACATAATCCAAATCCTCCAATAAAATCTTCACTTCCTGCACCAAAACTAGTACCATCACCGCCATTACCACCATTGTCGCCGCCACCACCACCACCGTCACCGTGAGAAGTGCCTTCACCATCACCATCATCACCTCCTCCATCAGATGGTGTTAAACCACCACTATTATCACTTTGAGTTGGAATTGGAGTAGGAGTTGAGCTTTGAGAAGTGCGTCGAGCTTGATATCTATAGGTGCCACCACCATCGTTTCCATCGCTGCCATCGCCGTCATCGCCATTACTGTCGTTGCCACCACCACCATCATCATCTGAGACCAAATCTAGCCATTCAGAATTATCCACACCATCTAGCAAAGGATTTTCCCTTTCTTCTATCCATGGACTTATTGGATCATCTTCTTCAAATATATAATCCAAGTTAACAGGATTAAAACTCCTATCAATCTCCTCTTGGCTGCTTCTTTTAACGTGTCTCAATTTTAATCTCATGTTGTAGGTGATGAAGACTAATCTTTGGATTTTATTATATTTCAATCTATTCCTCGTCTTCGTATGGATGAGACTAAAAGTACTCCAATTACGTTCACATTGAGATGATGTGGTGGTTTGACTTAATACTTTCACAGCTATTTTTTGAAGTTCAGGAACACAACTGCCATGAATAATCCACCACTCAGCTGCACAAAATTACATTACATTAGACATAAGTCAAAATATGATAAAAAATTATTTAAGTATTTATATATTGTAAATTTGTAATTTTGAAAATAAAACCTGGATTTGATTGTTTCCATGCTCTTTGTGCTAAAGGAGTACCCAAAGTTTCCTGTTTATCTCGAAACAGCAACAACTACAATTTGGACAATCATTACAAGTAACATTTGCAAAAGTAGATTATTACTATTAAAATTTAAATAATTGGTACGTACTTGATTTGTTGCTTTCACTTGAGCATCCATATTAGGCTCCAGTCTGGTAATTACTTTTTTAAGTCCATCCATCACTTCTCTTATCATTTCATTGGATGAGGTAACACCATATTGGAATTGAGGATTTAAAAAATATCCTTCAAAAATAAGAAGACAATTAATAATTGTAAATAAATATACATTTTATAATTGAAATCGTAACACTTACCAGCCGCATGCAAATCTTGATGCAATTGAAAAGACCATCGAGTATCAATAATTTTCGAATACTCGGTGTAGTAGCGACAATCTCTTTTAATTGCCAACTTTGCTCTATCTATAGCTTCATATATGAAACCCATTGTTGGCTTCTCATCTCCATCAACCAACCTCAATACTCTGACTAGGGGCTCATGAACTTTACAAAGCTCTGTTGCTTTCTGCCAAAACTCCTTTCCCAAAATAATTGTTTTCACATTGTAAGGCTGCCCAGTCTTTGCCTTCCCCCATCTAGAATTCTTCCACTCATCACTATTAAACATAGCTCTCAATTGTTGTTTATATCTAACAATACTCTCAATGGCAATAAAATTTGTAGCAAATCGAGTGATGGCAGGTCGAATCAATTCTCTACCTCCAGTGAATTTTCTCATTAAATCCAACACCCATCCACTATTATAAATGAAATTGGTGATGGTTTTACCATCTTCAATCACCTTTGCTACACTTTTCTTATTGGCTATGTCTTTTAGCATGAGATCGATACAATGTGCTGAACAAGCTGTCCAATATAAATGTTTCATTTTTCTCATTAACATTTTACCGGCTGCTTTCAGTGCAGGTTCATTATCAGTTACCACTTGAACAACGTATTGTTCTCCAATTTCATCAACAACTTTATCTAACAACCCAAAATAATATTCAGCAGTCCTACTAACAATATTAGAGACATCAATTGATTTGTGAAATATAGTACCTCTATTGCAGTACACTAAGAAGTTGATGATGTGTTGCCGAGTTAGACTGCTCCAACCATCACACATGATGGCTACACCTCTCTCTGCCCAAATTCCCTTGAATGATCCTATCCATTCTGTCATTTCATCATGCTCCATGCCCAAATATACTTCAGAAACTTCATAAGCACTAGGACCCTTTACTTCTGGCCCTACTTCAGCAGCAACATCAAGCATGGGTTGTATATACTCTGAATCAACTGCATTGAATGGAATGCGATTATAGAGTATAAACTTAGACACTGCCCGTCCCAATCTCTCTTTTAGCTTCTGTAAATTCATTGTGGAGATTTTTCGCTGCTTTGTACTCTTGCTCTTTTGGAGTTCTACATCCATTGCCCTCAACCTTGCTTCAGGAGCATTGGGTTTAATCCAATTACGTCCACTCCCACCAGTTTCACGCACAGATTGTGATCGACGAAAAACATTAACAATACCTGACCCTTTTGGCATTCTTTGAGCACTATCCCCTGCACCAGAACTACCACCTGCATCGTATTGTGATCCATGACCTGCAACACCTCGTCTAAATTGTTGCCTTTCCTCCCATTGTTGTTATGAACGAATACTTGCTTGTCTAGCCCTAGTCATCTCTGGATCAGAGTCAGAGTCATCATCTCGAAGATCTACAAAATCTCCCTCTTCATTTTCATCATAGACTAATATGTGCTTCCAATTCAGCTTTTCTCTTTTGTTTGTCTACTTTACTCATTTTCTTATTTTGTAAATGTTTCATTATTTCTTTCATCACGTCTCTACTAACATTAGGACAAGAACGCACTTGTCCTGTTTGATGTGCTAAATGTTGTTTGAAACGGGTAATCCCACATTTAATGTGATGTCCACAAAATTTGCAAATAATATGATGCCTAGTGCCTTCAACTTGAGTTCCAAATTTCCAACTAATATCATCACTTGGGGGTTCATCATTGGGACCCTTTTGTCGTGGCATTTTTGAATATGAATTCTGCATCATTAATACATTTTTTAAATTTATTTTTAAATGAAATGATTGTAAAAAAATATTTAAAATTAAATACTAAATAAAATAATTATAAAAAAATGTAACCACTATTTATACATTTGGATTTTACATGCCAATGTAATCATATAAAAATTAAAAAATGAATTATAAAGAATTTTTTTTGAGGTATTGATTTTTTTTTTAAAAAGACATTTTTTAAAAAATAAAATTATGCCTTTAACACGTATGTAATAACAAAATAAAAAATATTTATAATTAAATATTAAATGAAATGATTATACAGTTCAAAAAAAAACAAATGAAATGATTCTATAAAAAAAATACAACCACTATTTATCCATTTGGAGTTTACATGCTGAATATAATCACATAAAAATTAAAAAAATAAATTATAAAGAATTTTTTTTTGAGGGTATTGATTTTTTTTTCTTTTGAAAAGATATTTTTAAAAAAAAAATAGATGACTTTCAATATGTTGTCAACAACACATCACAATAACAAAATAAAAATATTTTATAATTAAATATTTAAATGAAATGATTATAAAAAAAATTGCAACAAATTTGGAGTTTACATGCTAATGTTAATCACATAAAAATTAAAAATAAATTATAAAGAAAAAAATTCTTTACTATTTGTTTTTGGGCTTCAATCACTTGATATTTGTTTATCTTTTTGAATAACCGTGCAAGAAAAAAAAATTCAATAAAAACTGACATATATAAATGTATTAATATAATTATATGATGTTATTGATTTTTAGATATTTATAAAAAAAAAATCAATCACTATTGATTATATATAAAATACTAAAAATAAATGCATAGCTCTAGATATATATATATATATTTAAAAAAAATCAATCATTAATTATTATATTAAAATACTACAATTAAATGCATAGCTCTAAATATATCACATAAATTTTGTAAGTTTTACAAAATTTTAAAATCTGAAAATCATTGTAAAATAAATTAATAAAAAATAAATAAAAACTTGCTAGACAGAGTGTATCTTCCTAGGAAGCTGCACACAAAAAAAAAAAAACAACAACAAATGTTATATTATATTATATAATTTATATACCTTCCCAAGGTGTATCTTCCCCAGGAAGCTGCAAACAAAAATAAAATAAAAAAACAAAACAAAGGGGCAGCACTTCGGAGGAGATGAACAAAACAAAAAGAAGATCAGAGACTTCGGTCCAGGAAGCTGAGCAAACAAAACAAAATAAAAAAAGAAGATCAGAGGAGATGAACCTGTGGAAGCAGCACTTCGGTGAAGACGTAAACAGATCAGAGTTTTGTGTTGAAGAACAAAGGGGCAGCCGGAGAGTCACAGAACAGAGGCAGGTTCATATCCTCCCTCTTCCCTCTTCTCTCTTCTCTCTTCTCTCTCTTTATTTCTCACTCATATCATCCGTATTTCAGATCTGAAAATTTGTGGATGGATACACCTCACCTCGAAGTGGTTCATGTGCTGTAAAGCAAAGCATTTGAACCAGTGATTGAGCCTCTGAATAATAAAGGTATGTACCACATCTTTTGTTTTTTTGTTTTTTTGTTTTGTTTGAACCAGCATTTGCACTATCCGTATTTCTTTTGTTTTTTTTTTTTTGAAAATAATCAGCGAAAAAAGCCCTGTAACGGGTGTAACGGGCCGTTACGGCTGTTACGACCGCTACGTCGGCCGTAACGGCCGATACACCTGTGAATTTTAATCACACCGCAAAATCGGGAGTAACGTGTGGTGCCTACCACCGAAACCGTTACGTAACGGCGCATTTTTAAACCTTGGTTCTAGCTGTCACATATATAGCAGAAGCCCTCAAAAAAATATTGTAAACCAATGCACATGGCTGCCACTTAAGGGTCTGGGAGAGGTAGTAGCTAGACAGCCTTCCCTCCAGTTTGTGTATGATGGTGTCTAGGATGACCGGTATTGAGGTGATCTAGGAAGATGGTAGGCGCTTAGCTGTTAAAGGACCACTGGAGGGGGAGGAAGAGGGAGCCAAAGGCAGCCTTAAGAGAGAGAAAAGATGACAGGTGAGAGCTTTGCGCTTATGCTGGACAAAGGAGTGTCATGTTGCGTCTTCCATGCATGGGAAGGATCCCTTCTATAGAAAAGTTTTGCTATTGATGTCAACTAAAAGGAACAAGTGGCTTAATTCCCTTGATGCGACAACCAAGGATCTCCTAACCTGAGAACTTTGTCTTGATTGAGATCTCCTGTCCAGGGATCTTTTGTCCTATGATCTCCCAATTTGGGGATCTTTTTCTCTTGGCCTTCTTTAGCCGACAACATACGGAGGTTCCTTACACTTTCATGTCAGGGCATCTTAGAGGTATTAAATGCATCAGAGTATTCGATAGCTTGGTCAATCAGCACTTCTCTCTCTCTAAGGCTGGTTAAGGGGGACCACCTCAAACAGGTCAGTCAAGCACCCTTAACAATCCATTGACTCTAGCCTCCAAGCCACAATACTCAAATGATCTCTTGCAGTTATCCTATGCCTTACTCCCAACCTAGGTAACTTGTTTCAAGCCTAAGTGTTGGGTAAATGGAAGATCACAAAGTGCGATTGATCTCACTTTTCAACGATCTTGGAGAAGTCAGAGAGAGAACCAATTTAGAGATCCACTTATGGAGGTTGTAGAGGGAGATCTTGGTCGAGCCAAGTGAGACGATCTCTTCCAACCTCAAGAATTTTGGACATTAGAAAAAGATGTGGATACATTTGAAAATATGTTATTGACCCATGTGCCACCGTGTGAGGCTGACACATGACATCATATCACTAGGATGCCAATGTGATGTGGCAATCCACATAGGAGAAGTAAATGCGCACCTATGCACTTTTTTGTTGAGAGGCTAATTTCCCTGACTCAAACAAACCCACCCTATTTGCGTGGGACACAAGACTTTGGTTTGGTTTGGTTTAACATGGAAATATTTCTAATCATAAGAAAACATTTTTCCTTTTACATCAAGTAAATTAATTTGTTAAAAAGGGGGATGTACATCATGATTCATGACAACTCTGCATTAGCCTTTTCACCAACAGATGCAACAAAAAATATAACCTACCTAGGCGCATCCATAAACAAGCCACCTACCTAACAGGCTTCTCAACAAATAATACCATACCATCTGATTCTGGACTGAATCAGCGCCGTGCATAGCTTGATGTTGAAATCCACCATTGCTCAAGAGTAGATTCACTCATTGATTTCTTCATCCAAGTTATGACCATACTACAAACTAGGTGTTTGTACTGATTGTTAGTCAACTACTTTCCCACTCTATTCATTTTATTAATATTATTATTTCAAGTTTTAAACCCTTATTCATGTTTGACCACATTTTGTTGACATAAATGTTGTTTAGAAAGCAGCTCTTATTCTTTTATTAATATCCTGGAAAAATCATTTATTTATTTTGGTAGCCTGGTTTTTTTGAACATGATTTGTTGTGTATGTACTTGACTCATCCTCCACTCTTTACAGTTATATTAATGTCACTTGTCAAAAAGAAAGAAGAAAGAAAAAAATAGTTCGACAGTAATACATAAAAAATTAATAATAATATAATTCCCCAAAATATTTATTTCTAACATACCAAAAGAGACCAAACAAATAAAAATGAGAGCAAAAGGAAAGAAAAGAAAAGAGAGAAAATGGAGAAGATAACACACACCAGCATGAAAGCGAGAAATGGTTGGGTGCTCGAGGACAAAATCACAGAGGTCTACGCGCCCAAACATGTAAGCCCCCTTCTCATGTCTAGACAATAAACAAATCAAATTGCATTTCAATACAACAAAAATATAAAGAACAACAACAGTTTTTCAGGAGATAAGCTAACCATTCAAAATGTAAAGTTGAATTCAAATGCAAATTACAATTTTCAATTCACAACTTGATAATTATACAACTCAAATTCTAATTTCATGCACCATTTTATAACCGAATTACAACTAGTGGTAAAGTTTACTATTTTTTCAAGTCTAGAGAGAGGAATTCTACCCAATAACCAGCATCTACTTTTCTTAAAGGGGGCATATACGTGTGGGTATATATTATGCTTGGCACGTGGCGAGTCTTACGGGCGTCACGTCATTACCATCACACATCCACGTGGCAGACCCCTGAGGCACCACAATGAGTTGGGGTCGCATGCCTAGCCTAAACGGGGGCATGCAAACCACCAAGTATGAAAACAGGGCCACAACTCCTAGAGCTCTCCATTACCCTTCATAACTCAAGAAATATATTCTCTACCCATTCATCCCAGCTCCGTAACAACATAGTTGGACTCTTGGCTCACCTATGTTTACTTAGTTGCTCAGGATGAGCCCTTGGCTCACCCATGCACTCACCCCCTTGGCTGCCTAGGTTGAGAGTAGGACCTAGGCACTCCCGCTTGGATCATTGGAGGATTGTGGATTGAAAGCTAAGACCTCTGGATCGTTGAGGTCATGTAACTATTTCCCTGCAATGACAGCTCCCCTTTGACCTGGCTTAGAGAAAGGAATGTTGACCTTACACTTACATCTGATGCACATATGATACGCCTCTCAAGACATCATACCTACACCTGCAGCTCCTATGATGCAACCTTTCCAAGGACCTAAATCATAGGACACAGTTAGTAGGGCTGATATCACCCTCCTGTCGAGTCGAAGAGAACTTGTCACCCGTCTTGAGGTTGCTTGGGCTACAATACTCCTAGAGTCTATATAACAGCACCATAAGTACAGCCACAAACACACAACAAGAGCAACAAGAATCACATAACATACATTAAGTATTCAAGATCTCTCACTGCCACCCCTTTCCTCTCTAAGCCTACCTTGGTCTTCTCCTCTTCCACCTTCGGTGATCTCAGGCCATTTAGTACCCAACCATCTTCCCAAAGGTCAACGACCGATCGCCTCTTATCTCTACTACCCACAATATGTAACAATTAACAAAAAATAAATAAATGGGAAAAATCACTTTGCACCCCTATGGTTTACATAAAATCCAATTGTGTCTTCACTTTTTAATGTCTTAGTCAGTCCCAGATCTCGATTGAAGTTTCAATTGGGTCTATTTGTATAACGGAGAACAGCCACATGTAGTACTGATTAAACCAAACACCCTTGCCCTTTTATCAATATTTCACTTTACTTGCTCTAATTTAGCCCTTAGCTTAGCACCATTATAATTTTATCAAAACCTCACTTTAATCCCTCTACTTTGGTCCAATTGTAACTTTAACTCCAAGTTCAGGGAGTGAAATTGAAATTGTATGCAAAGATTAATTTGGGCTAAATAAATAAACGCCAAAAGCACATTGAACTTGAACAGACGAGACTTACACATCGAGTTGATCAATGATGGAGCCTTCTTTGAGGACTTCCAAGAAAAATTTGTGGCGAGGAGGTCCGCTCCACTCAGGAATCGTATAAGGAACTGGAACATTTGGGCGTTGTTGGTCCTGTTTAACATCGACACTCTGATTGGGTGTGGTGTTTTCGGCTTGCAGTGGTTCGTCTGGTGGACGGATTGGTAGGGAATCCTGGTGGCCGTTGGATTGGGATTGAACGGAGTCGGATTGACCCATCGCTGGTGCAGAGGAGGTTGAAGGTTCGTCTAGGGTTTTGGTTAGGGGTTCTGTTGAGAGGGCTTCTTCGGAGGTGGTGGTGGCGATAGGGTTTTTTGGAGGCGGAGGACCCATGTCAGTCGTCATTCTGGAAGCAACCGATTCAATCGAATATGTTCTGCAAATTGTAAAAAAACTGCACTGCATGCTCCACACCATGGACCAGTTTGTTTAATAGGATGGAACATGGATTAGAGGAGCGGCCCACTTTCTGTTGCGAGTCTTGTGTTTAGGGATGGCAATTTAAACCCGGCCCCACGGGGACCCGATCCCGTCCTCGATTACAATGGTTTTTTTTTTGAAAAATACTCTCTATGGGCCGGGAATGGTATTAAAAAATACATCCCCGATTAATTTCAGGCCGGGGACAGGGATAGCTTTCCCGGCCCCGGCCCCGGCCCCGTCCCCGAGCCCCGCCCCGTTTCCTCCCCGAAATAAAATATCTTTATGCCCCACTATCTATTTTTAATATAACCCTTCAAGCCTGGATCACTCTCTCTCTCTCTCTCTCAGACGTCTCTCTCGGACCTCTGTCTCTCTCTCTCAGACCTCTCTCTCTCGAAGTTGATCACAGATTCACAGCTCCTCTCCCTCTCTCTCACCCGTTGCTCCACCACACCACCGCCTCTGCCATTCCACCACCGCCTCTCGAAGTCGATCGCATCCCCCTCACTCACTCACGGACTCACGCAGACTCAGAACAGATCTGAAGAAACCGATCTGAACAGATCTGAAGCGAAGAAGCCCTCCGTCGATCCACCACCGCCACTCGAAGTAGATCATCGCATCTCTCTCTCTCTCTCACGATATATATATATATCTGTTGTTGAACACTTTTTTTTATTTTTTTTTTAAGTTGTTATATATATGTTGTTGATTGATGATTGTTGTGATCTGAAAAGTTGTTGTTGTGTGTGTGTGTGTTGAACTTGAACAGATCTGTTCGTCCATTATACAGATTTTTTTTTTTTTTTTTGAACAGATCTGCCGGGGATGTTTCGGGGTCGGGGGAAACCCGATCCCCGTTAGGGGACGAGGATGGGGGAGGTGATGGGTTCCCCGCCGGGGATCGGGGGCAGGGACGGGGATTTTTCTACCTTCGGAGATCGGGGACGGGGAGTATCATCCCCGGCCCCGGCCCGGCCCGTTGCCATTCCTAGGGTTGTTACACAACCGCAATTCAGAGAAGCGGGCTGGTAAGCATCCAAAGGAGTCTAAGGCAAATATGGTGAAACATGCTCTAAAAGCCAAGAAACGGAAGGTTTTTGGAGAAAGTTCCTCACACGGCTGTAAAGGAGGGGAAACTAAAAAGTACAAGTTTAATGGCAAGTGTTACATCTATGACAAACAGGGACATCGGGTCAAAAATTGTCGTAGCAAAGGCAAAAGAAAAAAAAGAACAAGTAAGAAGCCTGCTCAAGCCCATATGATCGAAATGGACAATATTTCCAATGGTGTAAATCACATAAATCTTTCTGCAATTGTTTCCGAGACAAACCTTGTCGGAAATCCTAAAGAATGGTGGGTGGACACTAGTGCTACTTGTCATATCTATGCCGACAAAAAGATGTTCACATCTTATTCTGCAGTGGACAATAGTGAACAACTTTTTATGGGCAACTCCTCGACTTTTAAAGTTGAAGGACAAGGAAAGATTATTCTGAAGATGACATCTGGAAAGGAATTCACTCTCAACAATGTGCTGCATGTATCGGACATTCGCAAATATCTTGTTTCCGGATCTTTGTTGAGTAAAAATGGGTTTAGGCTAGTTTTAGAAAGTGACAAGTTAGTACTTACCAAAAACGGGATATATGTAGGAAAAGGTTACATGTCTGATGGCTTTTTTAAAATGAATGTAATGACTTTTGTACCCTCTGTTATTAATAAAAATACATCTTCTTACTTGCTTGAGTCTTTAAATTTATACCATGGTTTTTTTTTTTTTTATTATTTTGGGAGGTTAAATTTTTTGTGTTTGGGAAGATAGTTGGGTTTTTTTTAGTTGGATATGATGTTTGTGAGAAAAAAATGAAATGATTATAAGTTTAATGTGACATTTTGTCTGAATTTTTTTTTTAACCGATTTTGTCTTTTACCATTTTTTTAGCCCAAAAAAAAAAAAAAAACCTTCTCAAACACCCCCCCTATGTTATTACCTTTTTGGGATTTGGTCAAAACCCCTTGTAATAAAATTTTAATGCATTAAAGATAAATACAAAAAAAAATGTTAAAAAATTCAACAAATATCACTATTATCAAAATATTAAATTTTAAAATAATACAACTTTTGTGTAGATGTCAATTTTTAATAAAATTAATCAGTGTGTTTGGTTTCAGTTTTTTAAAAATTAAAATTTTTTGTTTTTCATTTTTTTGTTTGTAGGGAATATTTTTAAAATTTTAATTAATCTTTTTACTTTTTTAGATGCACCTTTATTAATTGTATCTAACTGGTAAAATATTTGTGAAAACATATTTTCAAAAATTAATAAATACACAAAAATACAAAAAATGTACTGAATTTTAGTTTTTTTTTTGTATTTTTTTTGGCATTTAGTGTATTTTTTAAATATTATTTTCACAAATATTATACTTTTTAAATGTATTACTGTTAGATGTGTCTACAAAATTTTAAAAAAAAAATTGCTTTGAATATTAAAAAAATTCATTGAAAACATTAAAATACAGAAAATAAAAAAGTATAATTTTCTGAAAACCAGAACCAAACAAACTGAATATTTTTAGAATTCTTTCATCAAGATCTATCAAATAAAATCCATGTTGACTATGAAAAAAAAAATTATTACAAGTGAAATTTATGTAAACAGTAACATGTTACTCTATTTGACAATAACATGTTATTCTGTCTTACAGTAACATTTTGCTGTGTTTGACAATTACTCTATTTAACAGTAATATTTTACTTTGTTTTACAGTAATATGTTACTCTGACAATATTATTCAAGAAAGAAAAATATATATATTTTTTACGTTATCCTTACTCAATTATGTGTTTTATCCTTATGAAATTTATGAAAAAAAATATATTGAATTATCATTATAGCGATCCCGATTTTGCCTCGACCTTCATTGTGTTCCAGACTCGGGTTCTGTGATTGAATATTGTATTTATGTCTTGTTTTCCTCCTTTGATCCTTTTGTATTTGAGTTTTGGAACTTGTTGGGTGAGTTTGGAACAGGTTGGTTGTTGGTTGGTTTAGATCTTTATTGTTCAGAATTTGGCCTCTACGCTCGAGCGAGGCTTCTTGCGCTCGAGCGAGCTTTTTGTAATTTGCTTCTTCGCTCGAGGGAGGTTTCTTGCGCTCGAGCAAGAATTGAGAGTCTTCAAGTCTCTTTCTCAGACACAGAATTTCTGGGAAAGTAAAGTGTTTCACTCGAGCGAGACTTCTTGCGTTCGAGCGAGCATATGCGTCAGTAAAACTTCTGAAGCTTTGCATTTCATGCTCAAGCGACGCTTCTTGGGCTCGAGCGAGATCACTTGTTGTGTCTGGTCGCTCGAGTGACCACTCCTTCGCTCGAGTGAGGACCATGTCTATCAGTTCGCAGTAGAGTGATTTTGTATCACTTTTTGATTTCATTTCTTCTACAAACCCTAACCCGACACTCTCTCTCTCTAAAATATCCTCTCTCACTACAAATACACCTAGATTTAGGGATCTCTCAACCCTAGTTCCTTTGATTAAAAGAGAGAGCATCTTGTGGGCTTCCTCTTGATCTGAACAAAACTGAATTTGGAGCATTTTTGAAGTTCTTCATCATCTCCTTTGAGCTTCTACTCTTGAGGTAGGGATATTCTACACCTTGTTATGATTTTTAACCTAGGTATTTGTCATTTTGTAGATATTGAGAGATTTGGGTATGATTTTCGCAAACTAGGGTTTGGGTTCAAATTAAAAAAAAAAGGGTTTTCTATGTTAGGTTCCATAAATGAGTATGGGGTATTGAACATACCTGAGGTTAAATTGATGAAATTTGGCCATGGGGTTAATATTTGAAAAAGGGAGAAGTTTGCCCTATTTGAGTTAAATAAATTATTTTGTATAAATGATGAGATTGATATGGAAAATATAAAATTGGAAGGATGCTAGAAAGGATGGTGTAGTTGGATTTGTAAAATCACTTACCTATGGAGATTTGATAAATTATTTGTTTAAAAGATTGTATATCTGTTTAGAAATATCTGTTTTGGGCTATCGGTGGAGGATAGCTATAATTGTTGTAGACACTACATGTGGATTAGGTGAATTGAAACTCATCTTTTAATTAACTTCATTGAATATGATGGTATGATCGAGATATTGAATATGTGCCGTGGATTGTCATTGTATATAACGTTGCTTTTAATACATTGTATATGTATCTTTGTTTGGGAGGAGATAGGAGATGTACTCCATTATCTGGAAGGAGATAGGGGATGGACTCCATGTTAAATTAAGTTGGCCGGAGTGTCCAGGGTGAAAGTGTCACGACCCAAACCCGCCCCTATGGGTTTAGCATCGTAACCGGCCAGTAATCTTGAGATTACCAAAGGCCTCTTGACAGATTAACGTATAGTTAGGGGCTGCGGAAGCAAATATACAAAATATACAAGGTCCAATGAGCTGCGATGACATACATGGGACAGAATAGTTTAAAAGTTTCATAGACTTGTCGGGTAAAGTCAAGGATATAACATTTACATATTACACCTAGGCGTACATGACAAAAGTCTCGCCCACAACTTAACAAACAACATAGTCTACTACGATTACAAAAACAGCCACAAAACTTGACTTCGACCGGAACCTCCTTGGGAGGCGCAACGGTTGTATAACGACTCGAATTTTAAATTCACATTGGATTGATATATAGTGGTGCCTGTTACCTTAAAATTTGTATGGTTGTCGGACTCTTGATATTGATGGGTTGGCAAGTGAACTATAAATATTATAATTGAGGACCCTTGGATAATGTTTGGAACCTTGATCGAAGCCTTAACAAGATATATAGATAAGATTAGATAAAAAGTCCCAAATTTGAGTTTGAATTTTTGACCAGCCGTCACTCTTTTGCCCTTTTCTCCTTCCATACTTAGAATTTGAATATGAGATTGGAACCATTGGAAATCTTGTTTCTGGGGCTTCAATTTGAACACAAGAACGGCCTAGAAAGGAGTCCCGATGAGAGAGTTATACCCGTTTAAAGTTTCTACATCTGT